GGTAAGTTTTTCGATGTCCTGCAATATAAAATCCAATTTCACCTCAAAATGTAAAAGAATATATTTGATAAACTAGATTTTGGCTGGCAGGTAAGATTTGTACCTTCTTTTTTTTTTAATAATAATATATAAACCAAAGCAGGTTATATTAATCAAAGAATAGAAAAACACGAATCTGTTAAATTAAATCAAAAAACAAATAAAATAAAGTGGATCTATTTAGATGAAATGTTTTTTATTACGGTGGTATAAGTATTACTCATAATCTGTAATATAATGTTTTTGTATTACGGTATTACGTATAGTACAGTAGTATAGTATTACTCATCATCATCATACGTATTGAAATGTTTTATTACGATAATATAATATTACACATCACTGTAATACTCCGTAATTTCACACATTGTTAATCACGAAAGCATTTGATTCAATGCACGGCCGAGAATACAGACGAGTAACATAAGACAACTCAAAATTAATTACTCTTCTGTTAATAAGAACGGTGGTACGTTACGACATGTGCGTTAGAAACTTCCTTCTTCAGTGCTCGTGACAATATACTGTAGATACTGCATATGGCTTTAAATTTAAAAAAAGAAAAAAATTTTTTGTTTAGCAAAAATGGTAAATAATACCCACATCTTTGCGATTGACCTAATCGATTTAGAATTTGTGATTATTAACTTACACCTTTATGCACGTGGAAATTTTCATTGCAAAGTCTACGTTGAGTTCTTTGCAGGATAACGATTGAGGTGCTCATTATTTTGTACACTTGTGGATTCGTCATCCATTTAATTTAATATTGAAGATATTTTTCGATTTCAATTTTATATCCAAAAGAAAAAAATGGTTCCATTCTAGACATTTATTTTCATGAACGTTTAAAGCCCTTACGAGACTCTTTGATGCATCAATTGCCAATTTTAGGAGGTTGATTTAAATTACAGTAATACAATCATTGTACGTGATATTAACTCGTACGCAAAATACAGTACAAAGTAATTCAGAGAATAATAGCGGTCTGTAAATCTGATGAACCGAATACTAAAGATCGTTTAGTGAAACGCTTCTCTGTCTTTTTTTGTAAACTAGCACTGGATACCAATTCCTCAAAATAGTCGTGATCAAAAGTTTCTTCACCTTTACACTTTTTAATCAATACATTCAACACCATCCCAGAATCTTTTGAAAGTAATCAGTCTAGCGAATTGGATTAGTGCCATACGTACGATACTGTAATTCGATTAAAAATAGTTTATAATGTTACACGCTACCCCCACACTTCAATCGTTATGAGATTATTACCTAAAATAAGTGACAGGGTGTTGTTTCTCCGTACATATTTGTAGGATCACGAGAAACCGCATAAATATAAAAAACGTAATTCATTGGTTGCACGTGACTATATTGCTGATTATTACCTAGTGAAAAATTAATTTTCGATATGCCGGTAAAATAAGCTGAAAATGTATACAGTAATTACAGTACGTATATAGTTACAGTACGGAAACTCCACTAGAAAACAATGCAATTGTGGCTGCACGCATGCTGTAAGAATATGTATGGAGAACAACCATCCAGTCATTTATTTTTGGTAATAAATCTCTGCTACATTACCGTGTATTCTTATTTGAAGAAACATGAATAAATCAATAATTAAATTACTCAACACAATGATAAAGGCAGGATTAATGAAATGAAATTCGGTAGGATTAATTCATAAACAAATGCGGGCGCTTTAGCGTACATAAAGTTGTGACTCTTCTTAAATAAGATAGTAAACACATGGTCAGTTATCTTCTAAACGTTTGTGCATTCTCCATTGAGAGTTTTTATTACACTTTGGAAGAAATTGAGTCAAATTGAGAAACAAGACTTGGATGTTATGGTGATTAGATTAAAAAGGAAATACTACTGTATATGGGTTTAACTGAAGTGCGTACGATCATTTGAACAAAATATTTGCTCGAATTCATATACTGTACTTCCGAGTGAGAAATTAGGTAAATATATTTACGCGCTAAAGCGAAGACTCATTTAAAATAAGGTTTATATCTCAGAATTTGATCTTTTCTCTCGAATACTGTATTTAAAGATTATTTGTCTCACCAGAAACATTGATCATTGAACTTGTATGATGATATTCGCGCTAGTACACAGTATATTAATTTACGTGTACATTCTGGAATCAAGGCCTTATTTTACACAATGATAATTAAATTCATGTATGCGGGTAAATATAATTATTAATGAACATCACAAGACGTATTTTGGCGTTGGGTTTGTTCACTAGCCAAAAATCGACTAATTAACTGGGTATGTACGCGCCTTCGAAAAGGAGAAGTTAAATCGGATAATTAGACAAGGTTAACTAACCTGTTTAAGCTGCTATTCTCAACAAAGAGTTGAACTTCCAGATAGAAATTTTAAATTACACCGGGGAATGCCCATTCTAACAAGACACGTAATTGAGGAAATTTATTTATAAAGACAATTCACACCATGATTTTGTAAGTAGGCAAAAAACAATAAAAGTAAAAAAAATTAACAAATTTTTTACCATTGTTAATTTTATTTACAAATATATATATATATATATAAAGTCTTTCAAAACCAACGATTGAAAAAACTTAATTGCTTTCGTTCTAGCGAAATCTTTTTTTAAAATATATCGGTCATGTCATATTTCACATTCGAATTCAACGATAAATCTCTGCCCAATCATTCACAACACAAATCAAGTTTGCGCCCAGGTTCTAATAATGATGTGAAACTCGTAATTGATAAAATAATTTCATCCTGTTTTGACGAAGAAACAATTGACAAGATCAAAAGGTTCACGGCCATCCCTTTGTCAGAATTAATTACTCCCTTCGAGAATTCCAGAACCCAAAAAATCCCCCGCCCACAAAATAAGTTTGTCATCTACCGAAGAAATTTGCAGATGCAAATGGCTATAGAATGGGGTACGGTGCCTGTCAGAAAATTGGAATCGGTCTCAAAGATTGCCGGAAGACGTTGGCGAGAAGAGGCCAGTGAAATCAAAGAATTATTCGGCCTTATTTCCGAGTGTGCCAAGAAGGTGCACAATTTTTTATATCCGGATTATGTTTATCGTCCAAGAAGGAGTGCCACAACAAATACTCCGATGAATTCCTCGTTCCACAGAGTCTCTGTGATTTACTGGAAGCGTGCATCTTCAAAGCGTATCGCTCCAAGAATCACTTCTGCTGCTTCCGTCAATTCTCTCAAACCTCTATCAATTTCTCCAAACAACAACTAAATTCCTATTCGCCGGCATCTCTAAATACGCACAACATTCAAATATTTACACAATATTCAATTTAACAAATTCATTTCATAAGCTTAATTTTTTAGTATTGTTATATATTTATGGTCACATTAAGTTTGTTTTTTTTTTTTTGTTTTTTTTCCTGGTAAAACCCTATGTCATGGAACTAGTGTGTATCACGTTTTTTCTTAATAAATAAATGGGAAAACTATTTTTAGCAAAATTAATCCACGAATTTCTTTTTTAAGTATTAAATGCCATCAAAGTGCATATAACGCATATACGTACGTACTGTACGTAATTGTATTTAATCGAAACTTCTTAAATCGAATAACTATCCCAGCGCAAAGAATATTTGAGGTCGATTGATATCGGTTTTATTGGGTTAATTAATTGAGAAATCGTTTGTAAATGGTCGATAAATAATTTTCTAAGAGATATAGTGATAATAACTTTATGCGCATATTATACTGCAGAAGAATTTTCCTAGCATTTACTCAATAATTATTTTTCGTGAAATATTGATCACGTTACGCGGATACCATCTTCCCTTTGAAATTGAATCCAATATGAATAAATAAATAATGCTAGTCTTTACTATGAACATCGTACCCCATATAGGTTCAAGTTCTAAGATCAGGCTAAAACCTGACCTTCGTTAAATATTTAAGCAAAATATTTCTGGCACCATTCGCGTCCCACCTCGCACGAATCACATTTAACCGTTTGATCCACCAAGATTATCTTTAATGCATCCACAATTCCCATATGTATTGGATGTACACTCTTCTGTGCTTTCAATGACCTTGCAACCTCTGACTCCCTCGACTTATGAAGACTCGAACTTGGGTAAACGAATGATCTCGTAATTCTGATAACCAACGGACCATCTGATGATGGCACTCATCAATAAAATTACAGATTCCTTGTATGATTCATAGCATCTTTTTCAATCGGAATCTCTCTCCTTTTTGTTCTTCACAAATCAAATCTTTGTCGCTCTGTAATTTGTCATACTGTATTTCTTAGATAATTTAAATATTTACTAATCACAATTACCCCTACTCGATTAATTGACCGTCAGGGTCATAATCAAATATAAACGTGTGAACACCTGGATCGGGCGAGATTACCTTTCCCCAAACATCATATTGATATCCAAAGAGACGGAAACACACAAGTAAAAATGTCCTAAATGATTTATAGCTATGTTAACTGTATCTGGTGATTGTTCTGAGGTGATAATATTTTTAGGAACGCGTATTTCCTTCTGTTCCTATTCCTATCCCTAACAAGAATTGAGATGGTTTGTGTTCGATCATTCTTTTGATCGGTACTTTATTCGAAAATTATTTCCATGTAACTCCTTGTCTGTTTTGTATGCGCCATCAATTGCTGAATTGTACATCCCTAGGGGTCTCTCTTACCTTCAGTTGTGAACACTTATTGCTTTCGTATGACGCTCATGTCGGTGATTCCATCATCCTGTATCATCTTATGAACCTTGATGTACGTCCATCTCATAGTTCCCATCCACTTTCTCGGCTTTTCTCTTTCTTCTGGTGTTGGGTAACTTCGTATCTTTCGTAGTTTTAATCTTGCTTTGTCATTTTCGCTTTCCAGATTATCTGAGCCCATTATGTCTTGCTGTGAAGATACTAACGATTGATAATAGATTCTCAGCAAGTTCACCGAATTCGGTGTCACTAACATTTGACATCAAAACTGAGCACCACGATCTTTATTCTTGCCAAAAATCCATTCGGCAAGCTTTGCAAAGCCGATCCTTCCCGGTAACCACAACTTTCTCGATATCTCCTCGGTACGATCGTTCCAAAATGAATATGCGTTTTCAGTTGAGACATGACCCAATGCTTTTGATGAGTTCGTGGTCTGGATATTCCTGTCTGAGGTACTCGCATTGCCTGTCAAGATCTTCTTTTTGTTTCTCTGAGCTAAACTTTGCGTAATGTCTCTTTTTTCTTTTCATTTATCATTTCTTGATAAAATTTCATGTTTTTTTGATCTCTTGTGCTTCACGATGCTTTACTATTGACATTATCTTGCTCAAACATACGAAAACGGTCTTATTTGGATTTTATAAAGAATATCGAATCATCAAAAATTGTGATAACAATAATGCAGACATTCTTTGCCAGGTAATATAAAATAAAATTACTATTATTGAAAATAAAAAACAGTAAAATTATTAGCAAAATAATATATTATTGATATTGATTCTTTACACACTATCTATGATTACATACGAAAGTTTCTTTCAAATAATGTTGAACTACTGTATGAATAGACGAAGCATAAAAAAGATACATGATAAAAAAATCAATAAAAATCATAACATTATTACATTGTTTTTTGCCGTTATTTTTATTATTATTATTATTATTCGTTTTTTTTTACTGTATAAAAATTAAACATGAAGTGCTTACAAAAATGTAATAAACAAAATACGATTCAAGTATACAAAAAATTAACAAAAAATGAAATAATCTATATTTTTTAAAATTTTGGGAATTTAACCACAAGAATTATTATAATTACACTAGAGAATGGACCCATCATTAAATGATTAAATGACGGATTATAATTTTTATTTATGTAACTTAATTGATAATCGATGATACAATTAGGCTTTAATTATTTAAAGGACAAACAATTACGGCATACTGTATATACTGTATATGTATAATAAAGAACTTGTGCCACCTGCGCCACGGCTAGATATATCATTGACGCTCTATTTTTTTTTTAATATATAAACTAGTTGGATCATTGGCATCCAATTTTTCTCAATATAGAATATATTTTTTAATTGATCAAATAATTATAAAAAACTTTATTTTATATTGTCTTTTTCGCTATTGAATTAATGAATCAAAAAAATAAGATTTAATGCTAAAGATGTCTTTAAAATAAAGATTAAATATATTAAATTTTTTTATTTTAAAAAATTTTTATATAAAATTTTAAAACTCATAAATTTCAAATAAATAATTGTTGGCTAGTAGATCAATAGCACAGTGGGTAGTGCTCTCTGGTTTTCAAATACATGTCCCTAGTTCAATATCTACAGGAGACAAAACATATAAAATTATTTTTCATTTGTGGATTTATTGGTTTTCCTACAAATGTCATACTTCAAACATTCAAATTCTGACCAAATTTAGTTAAGCTGCATGAAAATGGAACCTCTGGTCTTTTTGACAATTACAAGCTGAAAACAGATCAAAGCAGGAAAGATTATATAAGAAAAGGTTTCTAGTCTAATTTCAATAAAAGTTACAAATCTTTTAGTATAACAGATTTTATAGTATAAAGAATACTCTAGCCTGAAGCTATCTCAATCCAGCACTTGCTTAAAAAAAGAGAATCCAATGAAAAGAGAAATCTGAAGTCACAGGTAATAACAAAAAGTACAGTACCTTCTTCAAAAAACCAAGTGAAAAGTATTGAATAAATTATTCAAATATTTCAATCAACTCTGAAAGATATATACTTTAAATGACAACTGCCAGGATCTAGATTAGGTTAGATAGTTTAAAACTAGTGGTAGGATTTCTATCTCCTAAAGATCTCATCCAGTATACAGATTCATTTTCTGAATGGATAAATCGATATAACTGGGTAAGGCTATAAATAGGAGTATAGGTTAACTTAAACGAACCTTGTAATT